TAAGTAAGTAAGTAAGTAAGTAAGTAAGTAAATAAATAAATAAATAAATAAATAAATAAATATGTCCTTGCGATGGTGGTGAAGTAGAAACGGTGGGGCATGTCCTCTTATACTGCCATTTATTTTGATCCTCCGCAAGGATCTTCTCTCCCCTACTTTTCAAAAATTTCTGGGGATATCCGACAAATTTTATATTATTTTGCTGCTCCCTGGTAAGGTTTCTTACATTACTAGTAAAGTGGCCAAATACTGTGCTGCTGCAATAGTTTGCCACATAAGTTCTTCAAGTGCCCCGCCCTTGTTAGAGATGTTTTGTTTAATTTACTTTCTAGGAGAGTTGGGGGTGTCATACTGATGGCTATAGGTGTCTCCTAATCTCAACCTATATCATGTGACTTCTGTGGTGTTTTAAAAGCTTTTATATCCTTCAATGCTGCTGGCTAACTCAGAGCATAATTTTAACTTGAATGTTGCAAACGAGCTAAAAGGTGCGTTGATGGTGTCATGTCATGACCAATGTCTTTGATATTATGTGATTGTATATAAATAATTTATTTTTATCTTCCTGGTCACTGACTGTAATAATAATAATGATAATAGTTATTATTGTTATTATCATCATCAATGTCAGGGGCAAGCAAGTGGTCTGCTTGTATTGCATTTTGACTATGGCTGCTTCTCTTGTTGGTTAAATTATTCATTTAGTCTGAAACTCCTAGAATTCCTGGAGCTGCTAGGGGATTTGTGGAAATGTACTGTAGTCTAAAAACTGTAGCCTTTCCAAGTGGTGCATCAAATGTCTGCTCATACTGTTCTTTTCAGGCATGGGGAGTGATGTGCATTTTCCAAAGAGATTTGACTGGTAAATTTTCCTGAAATCTAAAGTAATGGAGATCTTATTTTCCTATATATTTTTATGTACAGTACATACATAGTTAAGTGTCCCAAGACAGCACCTCTTGCAACCTCCATTCAGAACTAGGGAAAGTGTCAAAGCAGAATTGCAGCAGAATGTTAAGAAGACAAAATAATGACTACAGAACTACACAATTTTGACTATGAAGAAATTGAAATTAAATAATGACTACAGAACTACACAATTTTAAGGTTGACTATGAAGAAATTGAAATAAGAGATTTTGTATACCTTCGTTCAATCATCAATCATGTAATCAAGAAATCAGAAGACTTGGATTAGGGAGGGCAGTAATAAAGGAACTAGAAAAGATCGTCACACTGTAAGGATGTGTCATTGGAGATCAAGACCATCTACACTTTTGTATTTCCAAACATCATGTATGGATGTGAAAGCTGGACAGTAAAGAAAGCTGACAGGGGGGGAAATGATTCCTTTGATTCCTCGTGCTAGAGGAGAACTTTGCAGATTCGCCAGACTGCCAGAAAGACAAACAAGTGGATCCTAGATCAGATCAAGCCTGAACTATCTTTGAGGGCAAAAATGTTGAAACGAGGGTGTCCTACTTTGGGCCCATCATGAGAAGGCAAGATTCTCTGGAAAAGACAATAAAGCTAGGAAAGGTAGAAGGCAGCAGGAAAAGATTAAGGACAAATATGAGATGGACTGACTCCATAAAAGGCTCGCGTCTACAAGAGTTGAGAAGGGCTGTTGAGGTCAGGATATCATAGGGTCGCCATCAGACAGAGGCAACTTGACAGCACACAATAACGAAATACACAAAAAGCAAGCTTTTTACAAGTTTGCCATGCCCATATTACCTGCTGAGCAAGCAGCCGGAAATTTTTTTCCAGTGATAAGAAACTGAATTGAAACATTGTCCGTTGTTTCTTTTTCGGTCTTTATTGTCATTTATTTGTATGGTTCACTTTATGATTCACCAATATTGCATTCATTCCCGATCCTCATTTTTTTTGGAATTGCAGTGTGCTCATTTAACAATTTTGTGCATGAAAAAAAAATCTCCCCCAGCTATCACAGCTTCATGCGTATTAATCCGCCAATATGGAAAGCCAGAGAGAAGAAATGTACAATGAACTGCAGTATTGCTCCAGAGGAGTACTGTATATAAATGATAATATAGAAGTTACTCTGCGAGTTTTAGTCCTCGAAGGATCTGATACACTGATGACATTTTAGCAAATGTCTTATTTTTCTAAGATTAATTGGAACGGGTTGCAATTCCATTGCGGTGTTGTTACCTGTTTAAACGCTACTCATATGAGAAGCGTTTAAACAAGTAACAGCACCGCATAGTTAACTGAGTGATAAGGGAAGAGCAAAATCCCTTCCCTCGTGATTTTCACATTATTCAGACTACAACGACGAATGCTGCAAGCTAAGACACACAAACACCTCTGACGGAACTTCCGTAACGACTGTGCCGTACAAAATGGCGGCTCCCACTTTGCTTTCCCTGCTGAAAAACGGATAGGAAGGTTACGTCACAGGACTTCCTGGTTTTTGACGTCGGCGCTTGAACTTTGACCCTCGCGCCACTTCCTCCCTTCTCTTCCGGTGTCGGGGCTGAGAGTAGGTAAGTCTGTTTTCTGCGAGCTCCTGGGACGGATTTCAATCCGTTTCCATCTAGGGTGGAGAGGACGTGGGAGAGCGTGAGGATGGGTCGCGGGATGGCTAAGGCCCAGGGGCAGGGATTGGCGTGTATATCTGGCTGAGAAGCGGGTGGAAACTAAGGGAGGACGAGGCTGTGGCCTGGCTGGAGTTACGCCGCCTGATGCCGGCTCGCCCGAGACTTTCAAGGCTCTGGAGTCGTGTGTGGTGAACGTGTTTTCTCTGTCGTTGTCCTTGTGATGGCAGTTGAAATCATTGCCTATTGGGACGAGGGGGAGTAAAAATGACCCAATTATTCTCCTCTGTCTACAGTGCAAGAAGGGCGAAGGTTTCTGTTTAAGAAAGCCCCTTGTTCTCGGTTTGGGTACTCCTCTTTTTGAGCCTTTCCCCCCTTTAGCAGCTAGAGTCGCTTAGTAGTCCCATTTCCTGACGGCCTAATTTAGATGGGAGTTATAGTTCGTGATTTCTTACAAAGCCACCGTCGTTTGTAAAGCAATCTTCCACAATAATCGTCTCCAGAAATGTCGGGCTTTATATCCCAGCATCACCAACAAGCATGGGGATTGACTACACTGGTTGGAGATGGTCCACTTATTTTGGAGAGTATCAGCTTTGGGGTGGAAAGCTGGTGTACAGTACCACTTGCACTACGTCTTGGATTCAGAGCTTTTTATATATATTTATAAAGCTTATTGGGTCATCACATAAGCACCATCTATTTTCCAGATCTGTTTTCGAAGTAAAGGAATTTTAACGCTATAACATCCCGTGGCAGTTTCTGGGTTAGTCAATCCTAAACAAGTCTGGTGTTGTATTTAAGCTCCCCCAAACAGCCTGTATGATATGTACAACAGTCGGAATTTTGGGGAGGAGCACAGTAAGTGTATATGCGGAGCTTATTTAGTTGTTTTTTTTTAATGTACATGGAAAAAATAAAAACTTTTTTTTTTCAAATAAATTTTTGGAGCTGTGGGGACTGAAAAGTGGGAGCCATTGTTCTAGAGTGATCATAAATTAGTAAATCGTGTACCTTGACAGTAAATTGTATTTCTGCAAGGGAGAGTTTGGTGCGCAAAATAATATTTTGAAAAAAATCCCAAAATACATACTAAGGTGACACCTTTTATTGGGACCAACCTGGATAGGTGCAAAACGATATGCAAAAGCAGGCTTTCAAGAGGACAGTCTTCATCAGATGTGAATTGTAATCAGAAAGGGAGGGGAGGAAAAGGTCTTCCAAGTCTTTGTCTGCATATTATTGCAGAAAATAAGCCAGGAGAGTTTATTGGAGAAGAGCTTGGGCTCATCAGATGATGATCCTCTGGCATCATAGACTCAGAGTTGGAAAATTAGAAATTTTTGGCCTCTCGAATAATAAGGTTTTTGAAAAAAATACAGTGGTTAAATTATTTAGTTAGCACTGGTAGAGTTGTGGTAATCTTTGCAAGTGTGGAGGGGTTTTTCTGTGTTGTTCAGGTGCAAGAGGGCTTAAACTGGGAAGTGCCAATTCAGCAGTGAGCCTGTTATTTTCTTCATCTTGCCTTCTTATTGTGAAAATCTGTGCATGTTAACTTGAACTGCTTTAGTGAAGAATTGAAGAAAAATGTAATATACATTACTAAAACAATGGTTTTTTTTATTGTGTACGTTTGTAACTTTAAAACCGTATTTCTCAAATTACAATTTTTCCCCTCATTTAGACATAAAAGATGGTCCAGCGTCTGACATATCGTCGTAGGCTGTCCTACAACACAGCCTCTAACAAGACCAGGCTGTAAGTCCAGTCTTTGTTGTGATTACTTTTTAAAAAAATATTGTATTAAATTCTGATACATAAATGAAATTATTTTCTCTGATCCATACAGATCCAGAACACCAGGTAACAGGATTGTGTACCTCTACACCAAAAAAGTAGGCAAGGCACCGAAGTCTGCATGTGGTGTGTGCCCAGGAAGACTTCGTGGGGTAAGTCTGTTGTTGGTTCCATGTGTGTTATTTGGTTTCTGACCTAAAGGCACAAGTTGTAATACATGGGCAAGATCTAGTGTATGCATTTCCAAAGTGAATGATATTTTTTAATTAGGAAAAAGCATATTTCATAGGTAACTTTTATCTTCATTTCTTTATATATTGGAGGTTTGTCCGTTGGCATTTTGCCCATGTCTGTGCCTGCTATAGTGTGCTTTTTTAATAACAGTATGTTTACTGTAGTAGATCATCATAATTTTAATTTACATTTAGTAATATGTTTAAGCATCTACGTGGTTATTTCTGGAACAAAATATTTACTTTTTTGTAAGCAAAAACAAAAAACAAAACTGAATGCATTTTCATGTTTCAGTTTTTTTTAAAGAAAGAAATTTAGAATAATTGTTAGAAGTGAGATAATACAGTACTGAGAATTATTGTCTGAATGTGGCCTTGTAATAGTGGTGAGAATGTCAGGCTATTTTTGTTTTTAAATTTCGTGGACTTAATTAAATGCAATATGGATTACTTCTATCTTTTCAAAGGTAGTTAGAGGTATTAGTAATTTGGCAGACCAAATTGTGGCAAGTGCAAACTATTGCCTTTTTTAAAAATCCACTTTTAATTGTTAGTTTTGTTCATTGTATATTAAGATTCATTTTTACAAATATAGCTAATATATATGAATATTTTTTCTCAGGTTCTCTGAAATTCTTACATGGCATCAACTGTTTTGAGTTACAATGATCTTATAAATTAATTGCCTCCAAAAACATTCTTTCATGAACAGTCCTGTTCAGGTCCTTCAAGCTAAAGCTGTAGCTTAGTTTACTAAATCAATCTATCTGATTTTACTAACATTATTATGTTTTCCAATGAACCTTGTCTTCCCATGACTAAAGTGTAGTGGGCTTTTAGTCATTTTAAGTTACCAGGTATTAATAAGCTGTGAAAATGTGTGGTGTGTAAATTGAAAATTTAGGGAATTTTGTTGCAAAAACTCATATTGTCACTTCTGTGCTTCATCTTATAGGAAATGGGATTAATGTAAAAAAAGGGATGATTTCAAAATGATAACACCATTTATGTTAAACAAATTGCTTGTACTTACTGTCTGACCTTGATATAATACTTGTTTTAAAATAGTTCAAAATCAGTATTGTAAATATTTTGTAAGTGCTTATAATTAGCAAATAATATGGGGCCTAGCATTTCTTCATTTATTCCCTTGAATAGGATTTTAAATGCAAATCCTTTCAGTTATTCTTACAATAAACCTTTTTTTAATTCTACAGATACGTGCTGTTCGTCCTAAAGTTCTTATGAGGCTGTCCAAGACAAAGAAACATGTGAGCAGAGCCTACGGCGGTTCCATGTGTGCTAAGTGTGTACGTGACAGGTAATTGCTGTTTTAAGTATACATCTGTTGACATTCATGGTTTTTAGTTAAAAGTATTGCTAGTTCCCTGTTTATAATTTGTTCAAGTTGTAATTGGATTTCTGTTGAATTTTGCAGTACCCTATGTTGTTTACATTAATGTGCTTCTGTGTATTGGTTTAAAATAGATACCATGTGCTGATTTTTTTTTTTAAAAAAATCTGAAATGGCTTAGGATAAATTACAGGGGAAAAAGATAAGAACACAGCAATATTACAGGTTGCAAGGGTTGAAACAACTCAGTCAGTTAATGGTTGTAGAAAACAGGGAGAGGAAAAAACATAGAAAGCAAGTTTTTAATAAACAGTAAAAACACAAATTCCCTGGTGAATAGATTATAGAGAGAGGGTGGATCAGTACCACAAGGAGGACACAAGTTCCCAGAAGATAGTTATGTTCTATTATATAGGAAAAGGTTTTTTTTAGGTCACCTGGACCTAAGTTGTTTGGGGTTTTATATGTCAGTAATGCTATTTTGAGTCTCCATCAGTAACAAATTAGCAAATAATTAGCCTCTTCTTACACTAGCTTTTGGCTTTCAATCCAGCTGCAAGGACAGTGTAATAATGTGCTTTACTAGAATGTAGTCTTGAGCTTACTGGCACATGAGTCACAGTGGTTTAGGTCTCCCAGTTCAGGATCAGATACAGTGGACATAGCCCTGTGGTAAAGTAAGCACCACACCACATCTTTTGCTGTGATGTCAGTAATCTGTGAGCACTCCCCCAGTATATTTATTTATTTATTTATTGTGTTTATACCCCGCCTATCTAGTCATTTCGACCACTCTAGGCGGCTTACAACATAAAGGATAACAAGTTCAAGAAAAATGTGAAGCTGTCCTTTTGGGGGGGCTGTATCCCATTCAGGACGGGTGAATTCCTAGATGAACCATTTAAATATCTTACTGCCTTCTATCCAGGCTGTCCCTGCATGCAAGTACTGGTCTTAAGTTCTGCATAACATGTCTTAATTGAGACATAGTGAAGAACTAGACCTGATTGTGATCAGCATACCTGTGACATCACACTAGAACTTCTGCTGATTCCCCCAGTGGCTTTACTCAGTGGTATAGTGTTGGGGACATAATTACCTGGAGAGTTTATTGTTACTATTAGTCCCTGGACCCAGCTCAGTAAATAGGAGGAGGAGCACTGTACAACAGTGCCTTCACTTCCAGTCCTCAAAAGTTTTCCAGTAAAATATTTTCTTTAATAACTTTTTCCAGCGTGGATTTAATGCAAATCAAATTTATTTAGATTGCAATTTAATATTTAAAAATCAGATATTTTTTATTATTTAAATAAAAAATGAATTTTAAAATTGTGATTTGGTTTTAAAAATTTCTAATTTTTATCCATCCAGGATTTTTTTAAAAACTAGTGACATACATGTAAGGTTAAGAAGATAACTCTTAATTCTGTCTCTCTTCTGATAAGAGTGATCTAGGTTTATTTTGTTGATATCTCTGTCACCTTGTCTTTAAAGGGAATATTGATGGGGCAATAGTTGTTGCACCTTTTCTATATATAAATTCATTCATCTCTACTTGAAGTTCTGATAAAAGAACATAATTAATTTTACAAATAGACTGGAGGACTGTGTTTCAATAGATAAGAACTTAAAACTTTTTTTTCAAATTCATGCATACTTTTAGCCTTGTAACAGTGTTTCAAGCACTCTCTGGGCGGTTTACATATTAATTATGCAGGCTACACATTTGCCGGCTACACATTGCCGCCGCTGCCCCCCCCCAAGCGAGCTGAGTACTCATTTTACAACCTCGGAAGGATAGAAGGCTGAGTCAACCTTGAGCCGGCTACCTGGGATTGAACCCCAGGTCGTGAGCGCAGTTTTGGCTGCAGTACAGTCATTTAACCACTGCGCCACAAGTGGCACAGAACTCAGCTCTTAGGACTGTACTACTAATATACTTTTAGAATGGCTTGTTGTGGCTCATCTAAGCCAAAAGCTGAGGTATATGCATATGCCTAACTCACCCCAAGTGATGGCTTGGTTGAATGAAAGGGCCCTGATTTTTAATGCAAGTGGCAAAGTAACCTGTTAGGGTATAAGGCTAGTTTTGACACTGTCACCATTCTCTTCTGCAATGAGGAAAACAATTATAAGGAACCTCAGTGGGTGCAGAGTATGGTTCACAGAATTCAATGCAATCTAGTGAGATGAGGATTTTTTTGTATTGTCTAAAGCAGTAAATAAAAACAACAATAAAAATACCACAGGTCTTTCACTTTTATATAGCCAATCTCCAGATAATTTAGCTTTATATATTCTGGCATTTGACTTTGAATGATTGTGTCTTCTCTCACATGTCTGCTCCCACAGAATTCCAGTTTGGGGGTATTACTGTTTGGTATGGGCAGAAGGCAATACATTAAACCGTGTGTGTGATTTAGAAAAGGGACCAAGCAAATAAAGCTTATCTCTGATATTTCAGCCAATATTGTGGTGGCTTCTCTGAATACAGTTTGTCCGGTTGGGCGGGGGGAGATAGCATACAATAATGAAATGTTAACAAATGCTTTTTTTTTCCTTTCTAGAATCAAACGAGCATTCCTTATTGAGGAACAGAAGATTGTTGTCAAAGTGTTGAAGGCACAAGCACAGAGTCAGAAATCAAAGTGATTGTTTTGTGTTTTTTGCCTAATAAATGACGAATTAT